ATCAGAACCCCGAACCGATTCCCCGCGAGTGGACCTTCTTGACGCGATGGCCTAGGTGAAATGGCCCTAACGGGTTGAGTGTCTCCCGATTTGTTGATGTTCAACGAAGTAGGAGGAGTAATCTGCCTATCCCTCCTGCCGCAAGATGAGACTTGGCTCCCTAGAGGATGTGGAACCTGGGGAGTCTGTCCTCGGCGAGAAGGGCGAGTGTTCTGATGATGGGATCTGCTTTGCTGTGGGGTCGAATTCTGAGGTGGAACCGACTGTTGATTCTGCGGCAGTGGAGGGAACTGCTGCTAATACTGTTGTTGGTAAAAGTGGTGCAGGACCTGCTGCTGGTATTGTTGGAATTGTTGGACCTGTTGCATTTGGACCTGAATAGTCCGTATGCAGTGTACCAGGTCGTCAAGTTGACTCTACCCGACTATAGGGGGAACCACAGAGGGCTCAGTAAAGGTTGCACCCACCGTAGGAGGGAGTGGGGCATTTAATGGTGCTATGACTCGAGGTATGTTCAATGTCGGAACCCCATCTGTAGAGAGAGGCATAGTGAACTGACCGATGCACACGGCTAGGACATGAGGTTGCCCCCCGGAGATGTTCATTTCACTGTTCTGTCCGGCATTGCTGGAGGATGCCATTGATTATGAGCTTGAGACTTTTGTTAGAAAGAAGCTTTTAGTAGCGATTCCCACAGACGGCGCCAAATGATGTTACGCAATCCGGCTGCTCCTTGCTAGAGATGATCTGGATCCCAATAGACGACGGACTTGGTTGATCTGCAAAAAGCGAATCAGAGAACCCGGGGTTGTTTACCCGGTGAGGTCGTTCTAATGCTTAAGTTAGTTCTTGGTTGCAAGATGATAATGGTTTAGAATGCAAGAGAGCTAGAGACCAGAGACTACGCGTACCTTTCACCCTCGGGGGGTGGAGCCTTTATATAGTGGAATCCGCGCGGGTTTCACGGAGTAGTTCCGGGATCATCGTCACGATGAGGTCTGTTTCCGCGTTAATTGTGGATAATGCTCCCAACTGATAAAGTTCATCACTTCCGCCCGAATCAGTCAGGGAAGATAATGTTAGCTGTTACAAGGCGTGATCCGGTGAGGCACGAAATCTGGTGGCGAGATCTTCGGGGTTGCCGTGCAGTGGTCGATCAGTATCACCCAAGCTAGTGCCCTTTGGATCTGACCTGGTATGAATGCCGAAGTGCCTTGGGACCGAGGTAGTCCTGATGCCATCATGCACCAAGGTGAACTCGTCCCGAGGTGGACTTGCCCCGAGGTGGTTTGGTTATCCGAGCTCGATCCATTGCAGACTTGGCGTATCGGAATGAGCTATCATCCTGCTAATTAGGTTGTGTCTACGTGTCCCCCTATTACTAGGTCAGGCCAAATCACCCTAGATCAGCTATTAATAAGTTACTCACGTTCACATCTTGTGGGGCGCCCCACAATGTCCCACAGCACATCCCCGCCGTGTGTTGTGGGACGTTGTGGGACGTATAATAACGTCTTAGTATGAGAGATGATGTTCGTGATGTATGGCTGATAAATGTTGTGGGGCAGTTCAGACTGCTGGTGCTGGCTACTGTGGATAGAGGGGCCTCGCCTGGAGTCTATGACCAGAACCCCGAACCGATTCCCCGCGAGTGGACCTTCTTGACGTGATGGCCTAGGTGAAATGGCCCTGGCGGGCTAAGTGTCTCCCGATTTGTTGATGTTCTCCGAAGTAGGAGGAGTAATCTGCCTATCCCTCCTGCCGCGAGACAAGATTTGGCTCCCAAGAGGATGTGGAACCTAGGGAGCCTGTCCTCGGTGAGAAGGGCGAGTGTTCTGATGATGGGATCTGCTTTGCTGTGGGGCCAAATTCTGAGGTGGAACCGACTGTTGATTCTACGGTAGTGGAGGGAACTACTGCTAATATTGTTGTTGGTAAAAGTGGTCCAGGACCTGCTGTTGGTATTGTTGGAATTGTTGGACCTGTTGCATTTGGACTTGAATAGTCCGTACGCAGTGTACCAGGTCGTCAAGTTGATTCTGCACGACTGCAGGGGGAACCACAGAGGGCTCAGTAAAGGTTGCACCCACCATAGGAGGGAGTGGGGCATTTAATGTTGCTATGACTCGAGGTATGTTCAATGTCGGAACCTCATCTGTAGAGAGAGGCATAGTGAACTGACCGATGCACACGGCTAGAACCTGAGGTTTCCCCCCGGAGATGTTCATTTCATCGTTCTGTCTGGCGTTGCTGGAGGATGCCATTGATTCTGAGCATAAGACTTTTGGTGGAAAGAAGCTTTTAGTAGCGATTCCCACAGATGGCGCCAAATGATGTTACGCAATCCGCTGCTCCTTGCGGGAGATGATCTGGCTCCTAGTAGACGACGAACTTGGTTGATCTGCAAAAAGTGAATCAGAGAACCCAGGGTTGTTTACCTGGTGAGGTCGCTCTGATGCTTAAGTTAGTTCTTGGTTGCAAGCTGATAATGGTTTAGAATGCAAGAGAGCTAGAGACCAGAGACTACGCGTACCTTTCACCCTCAGGGGGTGGAGCCTTTATATAGTGGAATCCTCGCGGGTTTCACGGAGTAGTTCCGGGATCATCGTCACGATGAGGTCCGTTTCTGCATTAATTGGGGATAATGCTCCCAACTGATAAAGTTCATCACTTCCACCCGAATCAGACGGGGAAGATAATGTTAGTTGTTACAAGGCGTGATCCCGTGAGGCACAGAATCTGGTGGCGAGATCTTCGGGGTTGCCGTGGAGTGGTCGGTTAGTATCACCCAAGCTAGTGCCCTTTGGATCCGACCTGGTATGAATGCCGAAGTGCCTTGGGACCAAGGTAGTCCTAATGTCATTGTGCACCGAGGTGAACTCGTCTTGAGGTGGTTTGGTTATCCGAGCTCGATCCATTGCGGACTTGGCGTATTGGAATGAGCTATCATCCTGCTAGTTAGGTTGTGTCCACGTGTCCCCCTATTACTAAGTCAGGCCAAATCACCCTAGATCTACTACTAATAAGTTACTCACGTTCACATCTTATGGGGCGCCCCACAATGTCTCACAGCACATCCCCACCATGTGTTGTGGGACGTTGTGGGGCGCATAATAACATCTTAGTATGAGAGATGATGTTCGTGATGTATGGCTAATACATGTTGTCGGGCAGTTCAGACTACTGGTGTTGGCTACTATGGATGGAGGGGCCTCGCCTAGAGTTTGTGACCAGAACCCTGAACCGATTCCCCGCGAGTGGACCTTCTTGACGCGATGGCCTAGGTGAAATGGCCCTGGCGGGCTAAGTGTCTCCCGATTTGTTGATGTTCTCCGAAGTAGGAGGAGTAATCTGCCTATCCCTCCTGTTGCGAAACGAGACTTGGCTCCCAAGAGGATGTGGAACCTGGGGAGTCTGTCCTCGGCGAGAAGGGCGAGTGTTCTGATGATGGGATCTGCTTTGCTGTGGGGTCGAATTCTGAGGTGGAGCCGACTGATAATTCTGCGGCAGTGGAGGGAACTGCTGCTAATACTGTTGTTGGTAAAAGTGGCACAGGACCTGCTGGTATTGTTGGAATTGTTGGACCTGTTGCATTTGGTCCTGAATAGTCTGTACACAGTGTACCTGGTCGTCAAGTTGATTCTGCCCGACTATAGAGGGAACCACAGAGGGCTCAGTAAAGGTTGCAYCCACCGTAGGAGGGAGTGGGGCATTTAATGGGGCTATGACTCGAGATTTGTTCAATGTCGGAACCCCATCTGTAGAGAGAGGCATAGTGAACTGACCGATGCACACGGCTAGGACCTGAGGTTGCCCCCTGGAGACGTTCATTTCACCGTTTTGTCCGGCGTTGCTGGAGGATGCCATTGATTCTGAGCGTGAGACTTTTGGTGGAAAGAAGCTTTTAGTAGCGATTCCCACAGACGGTGCCAAATGATGTTACGCAATCCGGCTGCTCCTTGCTGGAGATGATCTGGCTCCCAGTAGACGACGAACTTGGTTGATCTGCAAAAAGCGAATCAGAGAACCTAGGGTTGTTTACCCGGTGAGGTCGCTCTGATGCTTAAGTTAGTTCTTGGTTGCAAGCTGATAGTGGTTTAGAATGCAAGAAAGCTAGAGACCAGAGACTACGCGTACCTTTCACCCTCGGGGGGTGGAGCCTTTATATAATGGAATCCGCGCGGGTTTCACGGAGTAGTTTCGGGATCATCGTCACGATGAGGTCTGTTTTCGCATTAATTGGGGATAATGCTCCCAACTGATAAAGTTCATTACTTCCGCCCGAATCATTCGGGGAAGATAATGTTAGATGTTACAAGGCGTGATCCCGTGAGGCGCGGAATCTGGTGGCAAGATCTTCGGGGTTGCCGTGCAGTGGTCGGTTAGTATCACCCAAGCTAGTGCCCTTTGGATCCTACCTGGTATGAATGCCGAAGTGCCTTGGGACTGAGGTAGTCCTGATGCCATCGTACACCGAGGTGAATTCGTCCTGAGGTGGACTTGCCCCATGGTGGTTTGGTTATCCGAGCTCGACCCGTTGCGGACTTGGCGTATCGAAATGAGCTATCATCCTGCTTGTTAGATTATGTCCACGTGTCCCCCTATTACTAGGTCAGGGGCGCATAATAAGTTACTAATAAGTTATTAGTAATAAGTTACTAATAACTTCTTACTATGAGAGATGATGTTACTCACGTTCACATCTTGTGGGGCGCATAATAACTTCTTACTCTGCCGTGCTTTCTGGTTAAAGGAAAATAATTTGGTTATAAAACTGATGTAGGATGGGAACTCGAACAACCCAAGCGCAGCGCCTAGGTTCATAGTCCGTCGATCGACTTCCTTAGACCATAGTTGACTGCGGATCAGCTTGAGTTGAGTGTTGTCTCGAATTGAACCCCGACTGCCGTTGAGTTCAGAGTGCACGCATCCCAAGGTAACAACTCGACTTAAATTTTTGAATTTTATCGTTTTGATACTAACCGTTGCGTTTTCTTCACTTGCCGATACGCGTGGCGGCGTGGGTAACTGCTTTTGCAAAACTAAGCTCTTTCAACTTCTTCATCATCATATCACCACTCCCTTTCCTTCGTTAATTATGAGTGCAATACCCTTGACCTCTGTTGGAATTTCACTCTTTCTCTGTACCCTACTCTTCTTCTTCTCCTTGCAGTTGCAGGCTAACTCCCAAACCATAAATGATGAACAGTCCATCCTACTCAAACTAAAGCAAGACTGGCAAAGTCAACCTCCTATGGACTCATGGAACTCATCCCTTCCTTTTTGCAAGTGGACAGGAATCACCTGCAACAATGGTGGTTCCATCACTGCCATTTCATTTTACAACTGGAACATCACACGAAAAATCCCTCCGGTCATCTGCAATCTCAACAACCTCAACCACCTCGACCTCGCATACAACTACGTTACTGGAGGGTTCCCCACTTTTCTCTACAACTGTTCCAAACTCGCATATCTTGACCTTTCTCAGAATTACTTCGTCGGCCGGATACCTGGCGATATCCACCACCTTTCTCGCCTTAACCACCTAAATCTTGGTGCAAACAACTTCACCGGTGATATCCCGGATGCAATCGGGCTTTTATCGGATTTGAAGACCCTCCGTCTTTTTATGAATTTGTTTAATGGGACCTTCACTCCGACTATCGTTAATTTATCGAACCTTGAATCCCTAGAAATGGCTCATAATAATTTCATCCCTTCCAAGTTTCCGGACGAATTCGGTCAGTTGAAGAAACTGACATATTTGTGGATGACGAAGACAAATTTGATTGGAGAACTTCCCGAATCAATTGGTAACATCATGGAACTTCGTCACTTGGACCTCGGATTCAACAATTTGTGTGGATCGATCCCTAACAGTATATTTCTTTTGAACAAGCTAGAAAATCTGTTTCTTTACGATAACAAATTTTCGGGTGAGATTCCTAGAAGGATTGAAAGTTTGAGTTTGAAAGCCATTGATCTTTCGAGTAACAACTTGACGGGTACGATACCGGAAGATTTTGGAAAATTGAATAACTTAACGGTTTTACTTATGACTGATAACCAACTATCGGGAGACATACCAGCAAGTATCGGTCGCCTTCCGGCTCTAAAAAATATCCGGCTATTCAACAACAGCTTCACCGGCGTCCTACCTCCCGAATTAGGCCTTAATATGAAGCTCGAAAATATCGAAATATCGAACAATCGGTTAACCGGCAAGTTGCCAGATCACTTATGCGCCGGCGGTGTGTTAACGGGAGTGGTGGTTTTCTCGAACAATCTCGGTGGAGATGTGCGAGCAACCCTTGGAAATTGCAGTAGTCTGACCAGCGTTCAGCTTTCCAATAATGGATTTTCTGGCAAGTTTCCCACCAATCTCTGGTCAGCGGTCAACCTAACGTATTTGATGATAAGCGACAATTCATTTTCTGGCAAGCTTCCCAGCAAATTGTCCAGGAGTTTAACACAATTGAAGATCGATAACAACAGGTTTTCCGGTGAAATTCCTTCAGATATCGCGTTTTCAGTCAACCTGGTGGTCCTCAAGGCAAGTAATAACCAATTTTCCGGCAAAATTCCCTCAAAGCTAACGACCCTCCCCTATCTTACTACTCTATCGCTAGCCCAGAATCGTCTTTCGGGTGAGATCCCTTCAAATATAGTTTCATGGAAGTCACTAACCTCTCTGAACCTCAGTAGAAATCAACTATCAGGTCAGATTCCTGGTGCCATTGGATTACTTCCGGACCTAATTGACCTGGACCTGTCAGAGAACCAACTTTCAGGCAATATTCCTTCTGAAATCGGCCGACTTAGACTAACCTTTTTAAACCTATCCTCAAACCAATTCATGGGGAAGATCCCTGATGAGTTTGAAAACATGGCCTATAAAAACAGCTTCTTGATTAACCCAGGACTGTGTGCAGATAATGCTTTATTAAACCTTCGTGTCTGCATTTCTGAACCCCAAGAATCGCTCAAATTGTCCCCCCGACTTCTGGCTATAATCCTAACCTCTTCTGGGCTTCTGTTTCTGGTTACCTTGTTATCAGCTTTCTTGTTTGTCAGAAACTTTCGAAGGAGAAGACATGAACAAGACCGTGCAAAGTGGAAGCTCACTGCTTTCCAGAGCTTGCCTTTCGCAGAGTCGAGAATCTTGTCTAATTTGACCCATAGAAACCTGATCGGAGATGGTGGGTCGGGGAAAGTTTATCGAGTCCCTTATAATCAATTGGGTGGGGTCGTTGCCGTTAAAAAGATTTGGAATAACGAGAAATTAGACGAGAAGTTGGAGAAGGAATTCCTGGCAGAGGTTCAGATATTGGGGACAATTCGGCACTCAAACATTGTGAAGCTGATGTGCTATTTTTGCAGTGAGAAATCAAGGCTCTTGGTTTATGAGTTCATGGAGAACCAGAGCTTGGATCGGTGGCTTCACCGGAAGAAGAGAGGATTATTGCTACCATCTGACTCAGGCCAAGATGCCGTATTGGATTGGCCTAGAAGGCTGCATATTACAATTGGAGCAGCCCAGGGACTGTGCTACATGCACCAAGACTGTTGTCCTGCCATCATTCACCGTGACGTGAAGTCGAGTAACATCCTGTTGGATTCAGACTTCAATGCAAGGATTGCAGATTTTGGGCTGGCCAGGATGTTGATCAAACGAGGGGTTCCTGAAAGCATCTCAGCTGTAGCAGGCTCTTACGGCTACTTGGCTCCAGGCAAGTGTTACTCAATTATAACAAGTTTACAAAATGAAATTACTTTACTTTATTAATTTGACATAAAGAATTTTTTAATTAAAAATTAAAAGTTTTTTTGGGGATCCATCAAAATTTGTAGGCATAAGGGTAAAATGGGTATTTAAAAACCCTAATGCATTAGATCAATGTTGGTTGGGACAATGATGGAAGGAAGGTAACTGTAGGATTTTTCAAAATTACAGAGAAAGTTTTTGTTAAAATCAAACTTCAAGGGATATTTTTATGATTGTCAGAAATCTTAGGGGAGGTTTTTATATTTTACCCTTATAATTAATTAATTTAAGCACAAAATCTTATGTTTATGGATGCTTCAAATTAAACTAATAAGCTTTTTGTGCGAGGGAGCTTGTTAGAAATTAAAAACCTATTGAGAGGCCTCACTTAGTCACCTAACAACATAAGCTTTTAGATTTATCGGTTTCTTGGCACACACATGACACACCTATAGGTGTAAAGTGGGTCATGCCTTGCCGCTACGACATGACTTTGTGGGTTGTTCGTGCTTTAGTGGGTCATGTTGTACTGGCATGTGTGTTTGGGTGGGCCGTGCCTGCCTAGCTCGAAACTCTTTAAATGTTAGGCCCAGCATGGCCCAAGGCACAAGCCCAAGCATCGAGGCCATGGGTCGAGAGTCATGAGGCATATTTAAAAAAAAAAAAAAAAATTTAATGGAAATGTTAAAATAAATTAATATATCTATATAGATATTATTATTATTATTATTATTATTATTATTATTATTATTATTATTATTATTATACCAACCCACGGGTGGAACTAGCCACTTTACAGGTCTCCACACACCCAATGGCCAATTGAATTTACATTCATGTGATTTAATGCACAGAATATGGCTACACAACCAAAGTGAATGAGAAGGTTGACATCTATAGCTTTGGGGTAGTGCTGCTAGAGCTGGTAACTGGAAGGGAAGCCAACGATGGGGGTGATAATACAAGCCTGGCAGAGTGGGCATGGCAACACTTGAAAGATGGAAAACCCATAGTAGATGCTTTGGACGAGCAAATCAAGGAGCCTTGTTACTTGGCTGAGATGAGTGTTGTGTTCCAGTTGGGTATCCATTGTACAAGCTCCTTGCCCTCCACTAGGCCTTCTATGAAACAAGTGCTTCAAGTTCTAACTCGATATATCCCCTTGCAACAAAAAGTGGTAAGGTATGACTTTGATATAGCTCCCGTGCTCACTAGTTCTACATACCTTTCCAGCAACCAGAGGAGTAAGAAAAGATCAATGGATGTTGATGATATTGTATCATGTGATGTTTAATATATTGGTGTAATTAAGTATTGTTTGACAAGTCTTTTTTAGGAGGATTTTCCAAATAATCTACAAGTCAAAAAACGTGATGAACTTTTTTTATAGATAGATCTTAAAAGACCACAGGTCATTTGGTTGCAATAATTTTCATAGATACTTTCAAAAGCTAAAAATATTGAAAGACCGTTTGGTAAAAGACCAAACTAGCATTTGTAGGCTCCACCTATACCTTGGCTTGTATAAATAGCACTTGTGGGTGCTACCTACACTTATACAATAGCACCTTGTATAAATATCACAATATGGCCCTACTAACACAGAGTCCAAATCTACTGACCACAATACATTGCTTGTCATATATATTCATCTAATTGTACATCAAGAATATTAGTAATATAAAGTACGTCAATATTCCTCATGTATGGCTGTGCGAACGTGGCCAGTAATGTGTTGTGGTATATCTACAAACATTACATAAGTGAGACCTACTTACACTCCTACAAACAATAATGTAACATGTGGGTATATTAACAGATATACATGTGCAAATAGAAAAACTGGATCCACCTTACAATAGTAGATCAAGAACTGAATGAATTAGTCCCACAAAAAATATATCAAAAGCATGTTTAATACCATGGTTAGTAACATAATATCCTTGTTTTTAGTGGTATCTACCCCATTTCCATGATAATCAAATCAAGTGAAAACAAGATCAAACACATCATAATATAGAAATAGGCACATGTCCCAATTGCAGCAACTCACTCCTTATAATCTGCATTGTCATGAATGATATTACAATGTGAGCTTCAGGTTCTTCTCGATTGTAATTGTCTACCGATATAAATCATGTAATCATTCTAAACACAAATAAGGTGCTTTAAGTACTAGATTTGTAATTAATTAGAAGAGCTTTTATAAAACCATCTTTTATAATTTTTTTTAGTCTTTCCCATCAATAACTTCATATACCCACGAATAGTAGCCATAACTTTTAACAATAAAAAAGTCAACATCAAATCATAATTAAAAGTATAATTAGTTTGAAGTACATTACTTTAAATGGTTTAAATGTCCTAAATTATCCTGGAAACATGATATTTCAGCATTATCATTATCAAACTATACTGGTCCACTTTGTGATCTTTTACACCATATCTATTGTTAAATTATGGGCCCTTACATCATTATTCACTAGCTACTTCAACCTATGTCTTTACGGCCTGCCCTAATTCTTCTAGCCTCTTCAACTTGCAATAAACCAATTCTTTATAGTCTGAATCTTAATAACATAAAGAAAAAAAACATACATCAATAATATAAATATAAATAAAGGAAAAATTACGTGAGATGTTAAAACAGATAGTGACCATCAATTTAGATTTTAAATTTGACAGGCCTCTACTATTGAGCAAGGATTAGTTGAATGTAATGGTTGTTTAGTGGGCTATGGAACCAATGATAATGTTCCATGCCAGTAATAAAATACATGGGACCCACACCTTTCATAGTGAGGCCTATGAATTTATTGCTGGTGTGGATCATTATCATTGATTTCACAACCAACCGAATAGCCATAGTGTTCAGCTAATCCCAATTCTCTAGCTACTATTAGGGGAGGCAACCTTGGGTCTAGTTGATTTGAGAATTTATTAGGGATGGCAATTTTTCCTATTTTCTCGATCCCCATGGGGATCCACCCCAAATAGGATGGGAATGGGGATGATTTTCCCCTTGCGGGGATAGGGAGAGCATTCCCCGCCCCGTAGGGACCTCGATCCCTGCCCCGTGGGATCCCCACTAATATATATATATATATATATACGCATACATCTATATATTAATATTTTTAAAAATATGATTAAATATGTTTGAATCTTCTGTAATAGGATTGTAAATTTTAATATTTTATTTTTATTCTTATAAATAAAATAAAAAATAAAAACAAAATAGTTAGCATTATAAAAATCACAGGGAATGGGGATACCTGTGAGGACAGGGATGGGGATAAACTTGTTCCCATTAGCAGGGATAGGAATGGGGATTTTCGCGGGGACGGGATGGGGAGAGGCTGCCCGCCCCTGCCCGCCCCGTTGTCATTCCTAGAATTTATCAAATTTTGAATGGGCTTGACAGTCTGAGTTTGAACTTCAGCCCAATATGGTTGAAATTCTTGTCAGCCAACCCGACTTGCAGCCCCTCATCTACTATACTACAAAGTAAGATACTTTTAAGAAACATTTTAAAAGATTGTTGAGGTGAGGCTAAAATAAAAAAGTCTGGCCTCGATAGCCTTAGACCCCAGTAGTAAGGATTAGACCTTGAGTTATTTGAGGCTTACGCCTTTAATCCTTTGGCCTCATAATTAAAGGTATAAGTTGGGTTAAGTTAAGTCGGGTTGTGGTCAACCCTAACTCAACCCAAGTTTTTGAACCCCTAACCCTAAAACTTTGCACTAGGTTACGATTGGGTTGGGTTTAGATTGGGGTTGTGTTAGTTTTGGGTTGATAGGTTGGCCCAGCTTCTTTACTTCATTTTGTCAAATGTATTTATTTTCTAGATTCTATATATTCATGTTTATTCAAGCATTACTGTGTAAAAGAAGATATAGTTATCATGTTTTAGAATAAATCTTCCTTTAAATTTAAAATTTTTGACATATAATATACATGCATACATTTATAGATAGATAGATATGCATATACATAAATAAATAAATACTTGCAGCAAAAAAATACATAAATATATAGATATATACATTTATGGATGCATAATTTCATACACATATATACATGAATAGTTAATACACATTTACTAATTAAGTATTTGCATGCATAAATACATATTTATATAATACTTATACAAGCAAATATGAAGTTAAGTCGGCTTCATATTTTTCAACCCTAACCCTAACCCAAATTTTAGCTCAACCATAATTTTTGGGATGGATTCGGACTAACTCAGCCCAAGTTGCAGCCCTATTCATAATGTCCAAGGCTAAAGTGCCTCAAATATTTGATCTACTAATGTGGAATATGTAAGTTCATATAGGGATAAAACAGAAATTTAACACAAAAAAATAGGGTTAGGGTTCATTGTAAAAAATCCATTAAGACTTGAGAGTTTTGACTCTGAAACTATACTTGAGGAGGCTCTCCTAGTGCTCCAAAGTGTAAATTACACCATTCTAAGAGATGAGACAAGATTTTATCGCAAAAATCCAATGTCCAAATGTTCAATCATTGGTTGCGTCCATTCGTGCTGAATGATGTATCTGATCCAATGTGCTCTTCTATTTAATTCAATGAATTTCATTTCATTACCAAGAAGCATAAAAGATTCAAAATTTGTAGCTCCGTCTAAAGCCATGGGAATGTTAGATGCTTGGATTACCAATTTGATTTTGTATTTTCTCTTTACCAATTTGATATGGGATGTTACTCACTTGCTCATTTATCTTATTGTACTCCATATAAATCTAAAAGAAAAACATGGGTATCTCAGTCAATATGAATCAAAATTTCATTGACCAACTTCCCCCTTTCAGTCAATAGGACACAATTTTTCTATCTCTCTATCTCTCTCTCAAAAGTTGGCTTTGAACTCTTATTAAACTCAGTTTGGAAAGAGCGCAAATACAAGCTTCCTGAAGCGAGCATTTCAACCACCATTTTCAGTCATCTTTGCCATAGAAATGGTCGCCCGCGTCATTCCTACAAGTGAACACTTTTTCCCATTGTCACTAACCTCCCAAAATGAGCCCCTATTGCACCCCTGTGCATAGATAGTAGAAGAACTATTTCAGTCGGCGGCAATTAGTAGCTCTTCCACTAGGTTGGCTGCTATTAAATTTTAGGATTTTCAAGTTACAAAATTATCAGAATTCAGTAGTCATCTGGAAGAACTCAGTGGTTGGAAAACATTCCTTGGAGGCAATGTAGAAGAAATTAGCGCTTCACCCCTGTTCTCTGAATCTCTATGATCAGGTTGAGTCAAGCTTCTAAGTTGTGAATGTCTACAATCAATCTCAACGATCAAGTTGTATTCGATTGGGAGGAAAAAAATTCTTTCATCTTAAACTGGGTTGTAGAGAGAACGGATTCGATTGAAAGGGAAACAAGTTTTCTTGTTAAATTGGATTGCAGAAAGAAGAGAGAAGATAACATAGGGAAGTAGTTTCGAAGTATCATGACTTAGAATGGTGTTTGATTGTAATTAAGCTGACTTTGAGGTTGTTTGTTAGAAGTTGGAAAGTTGAAACGAAAAATAGTTTAACTTGCTTAATTAGGTGGAATTAAAAATTAAAGAGTTAAACTAGGAAAGGGGATTTTAAAGCAAGTTTTGAAGAGGAGGAAGATTGCCACGTGGACAGTCATTTTATATATATACACTGACTTTGTTAAGCGAAAGCTAAACGATAGAAACACATAAAAGTATGTAATTGTTTTATATTTTAACTTTCTAAATAATTAATAATTACTTATATTTTATATACTACTTTTAATATTTTTTTTTACAATACAAAATAACGATAATTAATTTCACCTACGGTTGTTCATTAAATCGATGAAACCGACCGACCCGACCCAACTTGACTGGAGTTGGCCGATTTTCACTAATGGTCAGTCAGTTTTGGATGATCAATTCCCTAACCTAACTAGGTCGATTTGGTTGGCCAAACAACCTACAATTGAATTGAACTAACATGTGAACACTCCTAATTTCAGATATATTAATAGTCTAATCTTTAATAAATAATAATATTTTAATCTCCAATAATTATTAAAAATTTATAGAAAAATACACAAATATTGAAAATAAATTTGTAAAGAAAATACAATAAGGAACTAGTAGAAATCCAATAAATACAATAGTTACAAAAATTATAACAAAAATACATAATTAGTAAAATAAATTTATAACAAAAATACAATAAGTACAATAAATTAAATTTAAAAAGTTAAATAGTAATAATTTAATCTCCAATAATTATTGAAATTCTTTTGTTAAATGACAACAAAAAAAAAGCTTTATAAATAATTATTAAAAATATACTTACTAAAAAAACAATACATAATTACTGAAAATAAAATAAACATTAGTTTTAGTATATATAAATTTATAATAATAATATATTACGATTTTAATATTATTATTAATAAATATTAATTTTTGAGTGTTATTTTCTAGAATTATTAATTGATATAAGTGAAATTAGTTTAAAATATTATTTGGTTATTTAAATAATATCATTATTTAAAATTTTAAAATATTATTTATTTATTAAATTTAGTAACTTGTAAAATTATAATTTATACTATTATTACATAATTTTGTTATTAATTTTGTAAAATATTAAATTATTAGCTTTTATGTTATGAAATCTATTATAATTGTTTGTCTACTTTTAAGAATTTTTTTAATTTTATTACATAATTCTATTATTTTAAATAATTAAAATTTAGTTTTGTTAAATATATTGTTATTTAAAATGTTTAGTTCTTTAAATATTTAAATAATATGTAAAATTTTTAAAATTTTTTGTTATTTGAATTTTATTTATTTTAAAGTTATTATATAATGTTAAATATTTTGTTATTAGCTATTTTTATTATTTTGTTATTTAAGATATTTAGCTATTGAAATCTTTAAATAATATATTATTTTTAGTATTAACTTTTTTTCATTTGAATAACATTTAAATTGAATTATCTGTAATATTATAATTTATATTATTAGTAAATAATTTTTGTGATGAATTTTGTAAAAATATAAAATTATTAATAAGATGAATATTATTAAATTTATTATAATTGTTTTTGTATTTTTAATAAATATTTTAATCTTACTATATAATTTCATTATGATAATTAAATAATACTTAAATTTATTAATTCAAGAAATTCAAAAATAATGAAATTTGAAAGGAGAGTTGAGAGCAAGGATAAAAATGATGACGTGGACAACCCTTGCTTTATATGTAAATAGATAGTATAGATAACCTTGTAATATATATATATATATATATATATTAGTAAAAGTGTATGTGCATTGCATGTGGCAATATTTCTATTTTTACTAACAATAATTCTTATTTTTCAAACATGTTTTTGTTTTATATGAAGAATATATAATATTAATGCATGTTCAAATTTTTCTATAAAACTTATAAAAAAATCTATATTTTTATTTTTTATTATTTAATTTATGACATAATAAAATTACTTATTTATCAAGAGGAAATACAATTCCAATATATTGTTTGAATATTGGTTTTTAATCGTATGGTCAAATATTATATATATATATATAATATTGTTTGAATATCATCTATATATAATATATGCTATTTATTATTTATTTATAAATATGTTTTTTATATTTCATTTTTGTAAACTTCGTATATGATGAAAATTGTTGAAAAAATACTTATATTTTTTGTTTTTCTTTATTTTAACTACTATATTTTCTTTTCCTTTTAATAATTTATTATTTTTTAAATAAATTCAGATCATATTAGATTTGGATATCCAACATCTTGATCAGATTCAAATTCGAATCAATTTTTATGAGATCCGATCAGATATTCAGATCGAATCGAATTCAAATATACCTTGATTCAAATCCGATATGATTTGTTTGCATCCATACCAAAACACTTGCCTACAATGACTTAGCTAATTAAATCATTAAACCATTTGACATGGTTAGTAGGGTCATGTGTTAGACATTAATGCTCTTTAATTTTTATCCCATTTCTATCATTAATGAAAACAATTCTCATTAATCACACTTTTTATATGATGAATATATAATAATATAGAATGTAACTAGATTTTCTACATTTTTTATAATTTTAATGTATTTTATTATTTAATAATAGCATCATGTGTTGATCCATTTGACATGGATAGTTGAACCACTAACCCACTAGCTGGATGGAAAAACCATTTTTTCTATTTTGGTTGATTTTAAATTATGTATTATATTTCATCATTAATAAAAGTAATTCTTATTTTTGCATTTATTATTGCACGTGGCAATATCAAATGATGATGATGATAATAATCAGTAACCAAAAGACTTTACTAGTTGAATTGTTAACCTATTTAACTAGAAAAATGGACTATGATTAAGACATTAATTCATTTTTTTCTTTGTATTTTAGCCATTTCTATCTTTACTAACAATAATTCTCATTTTTTCAAACATATTTTTGTTTAATATGAAGAATATATAATATTAATGTATGTTCAAATTTTCTTATAAAATTTATAAAAAAATCTATATTTTTATTTTTTATTATTTAATTTATGAGATAATAAAAATTACTTATTTACCAAGAGGAAATGTAACTCTAATATATCGTTTGAACATTGGTTTTTAATATTATGGTCAAATCAATTATTTATATATAGTATATATTATTTATATATAATATATATGTTATTTATTTATAAATATGTTATTTACATTGTATTTTTGTAAACTTTTTATATGATGGAAATAGTTGAGAAAATACTTATATTTTTTTGTTTTTAATTTCAACTATTATATTTTTATTTTTCTTTTAATAATTTATTACTTTTTTAAAAATTAAAAAGGATCATATTAGATTCAAATATCCAACATCTTGATTGGATTCAGATTCGAATCAATATTTATGAGATCTGGTCAAATCTTTGGATCAGATCAGATTTGAATATTCCCTAATTAAAACCTGATTTGATCTATTTGCATCCCTACCAAACCACTTGCCTACGATGACCTAACATAACTAATTAAATTATTGAACCATTTGACATGGTTAGTCGGGTCTTGTGTTAAACATTAATGCTCTTTATTTTTTATTATAATTTTTATTCCATTTTTATCATTAATGAAAATATTTTTCATTAATCACACTTTTTTATATGATGAATATATAATATTTTAGAATGTACCCAAAATTATTGATAAATTTTTATATTTTCTAAAATTTTATGTATTTTATTTTTTAATAATAACATCCATTTGACATGGATAGTTTAGCCACTAACCCACCACTTGGATGGAAAAACCACTTTGCTTTTTTGGTTGATTTTAAATTATGTATTCCATTTTTATCATCGATAAAAGTAATTCTGATTTCCACATTTATTTTTGTTTAATATGGTGAATATATAATAATAGAATTGTATCAAAATGTTTTATACAAAGCTTATATTTTTCTTTGAGTATGTATGTATGTATGTATTTAATATTTGTTACTTAGTTATGCCATCATAGATTGACCCATAACCCATTTGACCTAGAATGTTAGACCATTGACCTACCTACCATCTAGATATGAAAATTGTTTCATTTTCAAACTGGTTTTAAATTTTATATTTCATTTATATCATTAATAAAATAATTATTATTTATCATAATTATTTTTTTATATTATTAGTACCTAATGTTATAGATGTGCTCAAATTTATTTCATATTTTTTGTACTATTCTATTTTAAAAAAAAATTATTTTTAATTATACATCATGGGTTAACCTATTTGACCTAAAAGGTTAAACCACTAACTCACCCCCCTAGATAGGAAAATGATTTAATTTCCAATTGGTTTTAAGTTGTATATTTGATGTCCATCATTAATAAAAATATGTCTACTTTATCATAGTTATTTTTTAATATGAAAAATATATAATAATAGAAACATGTCCAATTTTTTTTCAAAATTTATTTTTTATATATATTTTGTATTTTTTATATTTCTAAATTTGTATTATTTATTTATGACATCATGAAATTATCCATTTGACCTAAATGGTTGAAATACTTACCCACGACGTAGATGAAATATATGATTTCATTTCTAGGTTTATTTAAAAATATAAAATTTCATTCTATTAATGATTATTGTGTATGGATTTATTAGTGAAATTTAATGATGATAAACAAAAGTATTTTTTATATTTCTAAATTTGTATTATTAATGACATCATGAAATTATCCATTTGACTCAAATGTTTGAACTACTTACCCACCACCTAGATGAAAAATATGATTTCATTTTTATGTTTATTTTAAAAATATAAAATTTCCTTTTATTAATAATTATTGTGTATGAATTTATTATTATAATGATGATATATAAAAGTATAAATGTTGGATTCAATGAGAGAGAATGTAATTTATTTAATGACTTAAATGTGAGACTTAATGAGAGGTAATTGAATGTGCTTAATGGTATTCTTTTAATTACATTTTATGTATTTTCAATGAAGATGAACTAAATTCAAGAGGATGGACATTTCAATAAAGAAAAATTTGAACACTTTTATAAGTTATATATATATATATATAATTATTTGATTATTGATCGTATGACTGAAACTCCATAAAGATCATGGTTGGTTTTTTTAGACACCATAATCCTTTTTCATTTTAGTGACAGCATCACAATAATAAGGTCGGTGGTAACTAGCGGGATGCATAGATATAGATATTTGAGTATAGATTTTCTTTACAATGAGTTCACAAAATGATTAAGGACAGTTTAGGGCTTTAGAAATGTTTTTGGACAGGTAAATACGCAAACAACACTCACATAGCCATAAGTATCAAACGGCGGAAGGGGTTACGTTTGAGCTTTGAGGGTTAACCGTTAACTAGTTAAGTGTCACTATTATTGGGCCTGGGCGTCCAATTGCACCCCAAAGCCCATAATCCAGCCCCTAGATACTGCAAAATGTCAACTTACAGTGATTCCAGATCAGCAGCATTGAACTCTCGAAACAACTTAATATGGTACATAGAAAGACATAGAGTAGGGCTTATTTATGATTATCATCTGATTCTGATTCTAAATTTCTTTTCTGTCAGAAGGCRAAGCTCTGGTTCTTCTCTGCTCTCCTTCCTTAGTCTGATCTAATTACATTCAGTTCTTTCCGATATATGTAAGCAATTGAAAAAGTCTAGTGAAACCCATTTCGTTTCAGTGTCGCCAGATGGTGCTTCACACGCAAACTTTTGCACTAAATTCACTTCCCTCCATCTTCCCTACTTCTCCCTTCTGCAGAAATATCTCTTTCTTTTCTACTTTCTCTTCAATTGAACCCATTAGGAGGTCCACTTTGAGTCTTACAGAGAAAAATCCATTTCTCAAATCCTCGTATCAGCCTCTGAAATGCTCGCTTTCTGTAGTTTCAGAGCCCATCCAGAAGGATTTGCAGAAAAAGCCATCTCCAGCTGAAGTTACTCGGACAATAATGGAGCTTACCTCTGTAGGTACCCTTTCTACTCTAACCCAAGAAGGTTTTCCTCTTGGCATTGGTGTTCGCTTCGTTGTAGACCCGGAAGGTACTCCTATCTTGTGTTTGAATGGTGCAAACAGACAGTTCTCCTTAGACAGGAGGTCTAGTCTTCATGTACAGGTAATCCACTTCAGAGCGTTTCAATTTTCAGTTTCCTAGAGTAAATTTTCTGATTTAATTTCTCTGAAAATGGTTCAACTTTATTGTTTCATCATTTGGGGCTTGCTCTGGAACTTTTGGATTTAAATCCACACAATATGCTTGAGTTTGATACTTAAATATTCTCTTTCACAAGCCAAAGTATTTCAAAATAGGCCTCATACGAACGTTTACGGTATGTTGCTTTGCAAATTTGTACGCTTTAAACAGTTGGAACAGTGCCGAACACGGTCACCACAGTGTACACTACAAGGCAGCCTCGACAAACCAGAAGATAGAATGATTTTGAAGGTAAATTCTTTTCTTCCTCTATGCAGGTTTTCCAAAGACTATAGGTTTTGGTATTATTTTGTCACCATTTCAAGCGTAGTCTGCAGATTGTGATTAAATTCTACAACTCAGAAAACAGTTGTCACCTTAAGCAATTCTGTCATTGAATTGATATCACTGTCTTATTTTTTGAAGAATAAATAAAAAGGATTTCATTAAAATAAAAGGAAGTGTAATCTAAGCAGGTGTCAAGGTGACACCTCAAAAAACTACTCTACACAGAACTGGTCAACATTACATCTTTGAATCTCCAGAACACCCCACAAACTGTCCCCAAAGGCTGCTTAAATGACCTGAGCAAAATCTGGAGGGACTAAGACCCAATCAGACACTAGTTTATCACCCGAAGCCACTAACAAATCAATGACTTGGACTTGTTTTCAATTTTTCCTCTTATTCCAAATGATCCAGGTTTCTGCAAATGGAATGAAGCTCCAAACGATTCTTTCCTTCCTAAACACCCCTGGATCCCATAGTATGACCAGCCACCCAACAACCCTTCGGCCTTTAGATCCAACCATTCTCCACTGTTCACTCCCCTGATTTCTTCCTTCATGTCCACATCAAAATTTATCTTTGATTAACTAATAAGTAAAAATGGGACAGTAACCCTTCCATAATTCATCTTCTTGGTGGGGAGGGAACCTCTCCCTCCTTTATTATTATTATTATTATTATTATTATTATTTTTGATAAATGATCTCCCTCCTTTATTTTCTTTATCAATAAAATTGCATCTTTCAAAATAAAAAAAAAAGAAAAAAACACGTCTCATAGGTCATCATACTTCATACCCTATTTTTATGTCCATTTGAGCATGTTTTCTCCATCTTTCAATGTTTAGTGGCCACAACATGTCCATTTGAAGATAGAGAGTGATAAGGGATGAGAATGGAACCATGTGTGCTACACATTCAGGTCCAATAGGAGAAGGTGATTCAGTGAGGGCAGAAGCTCTGGCAGTAGTATTTGGAGTGCAGAAAGCTAAAGAAATGGGGGTGGAGATGTTGATGATTGAAGGTGGTTCAAAGGTGGTAGTTGGCTGGTTAATAGAGGAAAAGAATGCGGTGTGGAATTCTAGAAATGAATTAAGATGGTTCAAATGGTTCTCAAAATACATTCAAACACAAAGCGGATGTGTATGAAGATCTGCAAACTGTTTGGCTAAGCAAGGGGTTAATAGACAGCAAATGTTCTGGGTTCAAATTTAAAAAGGGTAGTGGTGAAAGATTGTAGTAGTATCTATTCTCTTTTTATCGTTTTCACAATCTCTTGTTGTAATTCTTTTATAAAAAATGTTCATTGAAGATAAGTTGTTGGTATCTCTACACATTTGAAGATAAGTAATAAAAAACATTACATTTAATATTATCTTTTACCTCGGGATGTTCAAAAGTTGCCTATTTTGCTTTCAGAAGCTTCAATCATTATGGGAAAAGAGGTTTGGGGAGAAAGTTGACGAGGATCTTGTCTACATGGTTTCTGTGGAAAGGGTGCTTCAGATGGAAGATTTTATGGAGGTAAGGTGGCTGTTTTTGTGAAGTTACTAGTAAGTTGCGATATTGAGACTTTATGTTGAATAAATGACCTATTGTTTTTTATTACTCTTTGTTCTATGTTTAATAAAGATAATTATACACTCTGAAGCCTTTCTTCTGTTCAGTACTAGCCTCATCTTTGGAACATAGTTGACTCTGTTGTGAAAAGAAAATTGTTATGTTCAATGTGCATTTCAGGGTGGTGCATGGGTTACTGCATCAGAATATAGAAATGCAGATCCTGATCCACTCAGGGATGTCGCAGAAAAGATTGTAGATGAGATAAACAGTGAACACATGGATGATATTCTTCGCTTTTGCAATATTTATGTGGAATTGGAATTCCAGGTATGCATCCTGTATTACTTTATCTAGTTACATTGGAACTGTTGCTAGATTTGCTTAATGCATGAAGGTTCCTTTAAGAATGGTTGTGAGAAAGAATGTGGTACATATTTGGCTTGCTAGGAGTAAGCACCTCGAAGATGTACTAAGTTGAAGTTTGATAAAAGAAAACAACGTTTAGCATTAAATCTGTTGCATTCTGTTGGAAATCAGAAACCATTACTGAATGTTGGTCCCAGTTATCTAAAATCTGGGAAGGGGTGGAATGGTTACATAACTAACCTTTGGCTTTTTTCCCTCACAAAGTGGCTGCTCTCAGACTCGAACCCACATTCTCATGCCAGTCAGCCTGAGGTTTTACCATTATACCAAGCAATGATCCCTTGCAAATCCATCAACATTGATAAATCATTGCAAAATCACAAGCAATATTGATAAACTGCATAGTTAGGAATGACCATAGCTCTTTATTTGTTTCTTTTTTTTTTTCCATATAGGGGCATTAATCAGTGGCCTATCCCCCTGTAAATTTACCAAGCTTACCATCTATCTGAATGGATGCCTAGAAGTTAGAAGTCACTTTGTAAATTTTGTAAGAGGTCCTTGCTTGCATATTTTACAATTATTAAAAGGTTTCTAGAATCAGGGATTGAATGGGAGCCTAATGTGTATTGCTAGATCACTCACATTTGAAGTCATAAGCTAGTTGCTTGGACTCCAACCAGAAGGAGAACTGAAGAAATTACCAAGCATGTCATTTGAATCAGGGTATACATGTAACACATCCAACCATGTTTAGACACATTGATGATGATAACATGAGAAACCTTATTACTTATTTATCCATGGCAGTGCTAAAGTCACATGATTCCAATGTGATCTGACTCTGAGAGAGCTGTGGCCTAAATATGAACAGTTACAGTTCCAATAATTACTACTCTTTAGTTATTTAATTTTTCTAATTAGAGTTTTCTTCAGTTTAGGATTCATTTTGATAGGAATCTTTATCATCATCATCATCCAAGCTTTGTCCCATCTATATGGGATCAGCTACATCAATCTGTTTCTGTTCTGTTCAGTGCATTATCCATCATTAAGTTATGATCCCTTAAGTATCATAAATGGTATTAATTTAAAAAATTCATATCGAAGTTGTAGGGGGTTAAGTCTATTTTGTTTGAGTAAAAAAATTGTCCACTTTAGATGGTTTCTGAGATCTTTTATTAATTTTAACTTTTTCTATCTGTGGGTTTGTTTTGAAATTCTTTAAGAGTCAAAAACTGTGATAAAATGGTTGCAAAAAAGGGAAGGAGTGATCTGGCAGCTGAAGAATGATTTCAGAAGGTTCAAATGGATGTCAAGAAATATGTCTATTCAGGTGGGTTGGGTTAGGAGATCGGCCAACAGCTTGGCTGATAGCTTAGCAAAGCAAGGGGTTCAAAGAACAGATATGTTTTGGGCACATTTGTAATTCTGTCCTGGGTCAGCTTCTATGCTGATTTCTTTGTAACTTCTTGTTGTACATTAAAGCATCTTAATTAATGAAAATTTTCAGAGTTACTGATCAAAAAAAAAAAAAATTTCTTTAAGAGTCCTAAAAATAGAAATTAAGGCTGTATAAAGTCATAATTTGTCTGTAATAGTAAGGTTACAAACATTGGAATAAATGTTTTTGCCATTTGCTATTTGTTGTTGATTCCATATGTCATGTTGGCTTTTGTCATTTTATCTTCTAATTTTCTCTTTCATACTTTTTTTCTATCCTTCTTTCAATACAATTTATTTATTTACCTTCAATCTTATTCATCAACTGAACAACCCTACGTTTTGTTTCTTGATGCCTTGTACTACTACCATAATATGAATTTTCCTAATTTAGTTATTGCATTGTGTGAGTCTAGAGGGAAAGGCACTACAGTGGTGAATGGTCTACCGGAAAGACGGTAGATGGTCTTGTGGGAGAGGATCCAAGGAGATTGAGAGAAAGGTCATAGTGGAAGAATTTTCAGATTTCAGATATGAGATCTGGGAAAGAGGCTCTAGGTGAGAAGAAGGGAATTCTTAGGTCATAGAGTGGCAAAGCTTACACAAGGGTTCAATATTGGCCACAGAGAACACAACCTCCCTTATCTCTTCCAAATCAAAGTTCCTTTCCAGCCAGCTAGCCAGGTCAGGGTTCAATTTTGGCCACTCTAACCCTTTCACTCTAAACCCTACATCCCCCTGCTGCTTGTAAACTACCCTAAAGCGACTCATGAAAACATTGGCAATCTCATCTTGATTTTCCACTATTTCACCGTTGACCTCTAGTTTACCCACAATGTTCTTCCTTCTCCTTCTATTAGCAAGTGCATGGAAAAACTTAGTTTTGCCATCCCCCTCTTTAATCCATTTGTCTTGATTTCTGTCTCCAACACATCTCTAAGGACTACCTCTTCCAACTCTTTTTCAGGGACCACCTTGAGTTCCTCTCTTCTTCCGATAGCAAACCCTGCCCGCCCTTCTCATCCAGATTTTCAATTTGGGATGTAATGCTTAATTTCCTTTCCTCCACTCTCCCTAAATACTCCCTATTCCACTGTTTGATGTTTTCTTTTAACCTCTAGATTTTCCTGTGGAATTTGACTCCCTTCCAATGGACTCCCACCACTTCTTCATTCCACCATTCTTCAACCTTATGAATGAAATCTGGATGTGTTAGCCACATATTTTCAAATTTGAAAGGCTTGGGTCCACTCACAAAGTTCTTTGTTCCAATGCTGATCGGCCAGTGGTCTGAGGTGACTCTTGGCAAGGCTCTAGCTAACAACCCTGTCCAATGGTCTCCCCACTTTGAGTTAAAAAGGAACCTATCCAACTTAGAACACCTTGGGGGGATTGTAAATTGGACCAAGTGTACAGTCTGCTGGAGGGGCAATTCTGACAGCTCACACCCATTAATAAACTCATTAAACTTCCTCATGCTACTTGTGATCACTTGAGAGGGATTGTTGGTTTCATTTGTAAATCTAACCACATTAAAATCACCACCTAAGCACCAAAGACCCTCCCACAAACCCCTAATATCAGAGAGTTCTTCCCACATTTCACTTCTTTCCCCATATCTATTGGGACCATAGACATTTGTCAATACCCAAGTAAACTCTTCTCCCACACTTAAATTTCAATGAGACTGAGAACCGACCTACTAACTCTTCCAGTGGCTCCACTACCTCTTGTCTCCAAATTGTCACTATTACCCCCTGATGCCCCCCATGAATGAGAAAAGGACCAGCCTAATCCTCTAGAGCTTCATACACTTCTCACCTACCTTCTATCCCAATCTACCACTTTTGTTTCCTGGAGCAGCACTATGTCCGGGTTTTCTTTTCTGATCAAGTCTTTTATTACCCTTCTTTTCCTAGCCATACCCAATCCTCTAACATTCCAGCTTATTACCTTCATAGCAACACTTCTAAAACCACCCTTACTCTATCAACCCTTACTTAGTGCCTTTCCTTCTTTCCCCCCAGCACTAAACTCTAAATCTGCAGCCACATCTGATTTTAATCTCTCAAACTCTGACAGCTTCCTTTTCCTTTGACAATCCTTCTTTTTTCCATTCTTTTTGCCATAGACTTTCATGTTTTCTACCTATTTAATTTTCAGGCCTAGCTCTCCTGTCACTTCATCCATCGGTTTCTTCCCGATCCCCATTCCCTCACCCTTTCCCTTCTTGTAAGGACCTCAAAGGATTTGCATACCTGACTTTTTGCCTCTCTTACATTTTTCTTCTTCTTCTCTTCTGTCCTCTGTCCTCTTTCCCTTTCTCTCTCTCTCCCATAATTCTCTTCTTCAATAATATGGTATCAGAGCAGGATGGTGAGCTCTAGGATTGTTCCTCTGATCGTGGTCTTTTTTTTTTCTCTTTTTCCTGGACTGAGAATGGAAGGAACAACCTTTGCACAGATCTGAGAACTCCACACTTGCTTCTCTCTTCTTCTATCTTGGCTTAGGCATCAGGAATCAATACTGGAATCTATGGATGGTTAGTTTGAAGTAATTTAAGAGATCTATGCCTTCCTTTTTTATTAAATATTACAACTTTTAGATTGGTGACCTATGGAATCCTACTTGGATTGAACAGGGACAAGTTCTGTACCACTTGTAACCCTAGTTCTTGGTTGTAAAACAAAGAACAGTCCAGTTTTGAAGAGGGGAAGATTACTTTGGAAGTGCACAAAAGCTGCAGTGGTCTGAACATTGTGGGAAGAATGAAACAAGAGAATCTTCGAGGAAAAAAAAAGAAGTAAAGAGACTCTGATTGAAATGATTATGGTAAAGGTGACACATTTTGTGAAGACAACAATCCTGTTTCTTGACTTCACTTTTGATGACACTATCAGACAGTGGGGTACAATTGCTGCAGCATCTTCAGCAAAAAAGAAACAAATGGTAAAATGGGTGATTTTTTTCAAGTTGAATTTTGATGGGAGCTGTCTTGGCAATCCGGGTGCTGCTGGAATGGGAGGAGTAACAAGTGTAGAGTTAGTTGATAGACTATTAGTGTGTGTGTGGTCCCAGCCCCACACCTGTTTATTTCTTTATGTTACAGTTATGGTAGTTGGGCCGGCTGGGCCTTTTTTATTTTCTTTTGTTTTAAGTAGGGGTATTAAAGTAACTCTACTTCTTGTAAAGTCACAGATATAAATAAGATTTAGTGGGGTGGCCAGAATAATCCAACCACACCCTTTCTCTTCTTTCTTCTCTCTTCTTCTTCTCTTCAAACCTAGGTTGACTTATCTTCTTCTTTCTAAATTACATCAGAAAACACATTCTTTTTCTGCTTCTTTTATTCAAGTTGGTATCAGAGCAAGGCGAAGAAAGATTAGGGTTCTCATGTGAGCTTGATCTGGTCGGCTACATGGGAACTCTTTAGAACTGGATTTTCTGCAGTAGTGCCTGGTTCTTGGAGGTTGCTGGAGTATTGGAGACTGCCTAAGGAATTGAAAGATTCTTGGAGA